GAGGAGGGGGCACTGCACACGCCACCCCCGGTGCCCGACCCTGGCGCATGCACAGGCTCCACGGCTGAGTCCCGACCCAGCTCGAGATGCCGTCCCGCAGAAACCCCGCCTGCTCGCCTGCAAGGCAGCCTTCCGTGGCGGCCTTTCTGTTTCTCTGGTTTCCACAGTGCTGTTCCTTTCTTGGAGGGCAGAGGCAGCAAAGCCAGCCCTGCAGTTGGAGGGACCCAGGGCTTTGAACTCGCCCTGCGGGGCTGCATGGCCAGGGCCAGCCGGGCGGCTAGGAGGGAAGAATGAATGCTGGTTGGTGGTGACCTTGCAGTGAACTCCTGCCCCGCTTTACAGCTGGCAACAGCAGATTCCCAGAAAGGGCCTGCCCCGCCGGGAGGCCGGGAGGCCCCTCAGAGGAGCTTTCTTACTTGCGCTGGGGACAGGCAGGGCTGCAGAGACCTGGTGGCGGCTGGCTGCCCGTGCTCTGCAGAGGAGCGTGGCCTTCTAACAGGCGAGCATTCAACGCTCGGAAGCCACGGTTCCACAGAGTTCTGCAGAGCTTTGGGAGGCACTGTCCAGAGCTCACATGGCTTGCCTACTCCGGGTTGCCTTTCAAATTTGGCTTCTTCCACAGATACTGCTAATCTGGCCAATCAGGCGTTATAGCCCCGTGGGAGAATCTGGGCTTTGAGGCCAAACTGGGTTCGAATCCCAGGTTCACACCACTTAGGTAAATATTTTAGCGTCCACGTCACTTGATTTCTGGCAAAAAAAAAGAAAAAGCCACAACAAGAACAAGTGAAAGGCAGCAGCTTTCCTTTAGAAGGGAGCGCCTCACATTACCCAGAGCCCAGATGATCATGAAACCAGCAGGATTAGTCCTGAGATCACCGTGGGCTTGAAAGGCCACTGGGGACAAACCACCGTTATGTACAGATAAAAAACAAGGCCCAGAGAAACGCGTGTGAGTGGCGTCGGGAAGCGCATGGGCAGGGACACGCTTCCCGGGCCGCGGGATGGGTGGACGCGGCAGGCCAGAGTGGGGAGGGGGGCAGAGCGGGCCTGGCCGGAGCGCTGCTGGCGGCAGCCCGGCACCCAGGGCCCCGGCCCCCGGGGAGTCCATGGGGACTCGGCCCCAGGAGGGGCCGCCGGAGCTGCCACCTCAGGGCAGGCTGTGAAGTGCCCCAGCTGGAGGGAGGGCCTGCTCCGGTTACACGCAGATGCCTTGTTGCCAGAGGCCCAAGGAGCAAGGCCGCGTTTGGACCTGGCGGTGTAGGCTGTGCAGACAAGCAAGAGCGGGAGCAGGCCGGGGCAGGGTGAGGGCTGGGGAGGACGCGCCGAGCGCAGTGCAAACCCGGCCGGCCTGAGGCTGTGTGCTTGGGCCTGAAGCTTGGGGCAAAGCTCAAGAAAAGCTGGCTGAACCGCAGCGTGGTTGCCTAGGGAACAATTCAGGTCACCCAGAGCAACTCATTTCTTAAACTCCGAACTTCAGAAACAAATTAGGCACAAAGTCAGGGTGTGTGAGAGGGCTCTGTCGAGCTTTTAAATGAGAACTCAGAAACGGGATAGTGACCGTGGCGTGCATGGGGGAGCATCCTGTTATCTGGATAGAACCTGGAGAAGCAGGGCCAGCTGCCACTCTCATGGAGGGTGGCCATGCCCTTCACAGGGGCCTCAGCAAGGCCTTAATGACAAGGTGAGAGGCAGGATGGGAAACGCTGTCTGAGGGCTCGTGTCGCACTGGTGTGCAGGTGTGTCTCCCCTGGACAGCGAGACCAGTCACTCTGGTGCAGACGATGGGACTGGCTTTCTGGAAAGAAGCATCACTGGTATCCCTAAGAAGTGACAGCAGATGAACTGGATTGGGGCAGTAGCTAAAGCTCCCATGTCTCTGGACGTGCTAGAGGAGAGGACCAGAGGGGCCCACTGAGATGCGTGCCGCACTCCAGATCAGCAAACTGAGGCAACGACATGACGACATTATGGGGTAACTTGCTCATTTCATCAGGAACTTAGTGAATGCACATCATGGTAGCATGTGGCAGGCCTAGGATGGAACAGGGAACGGTAAGTGATGGAATGTAAATGTGGGGATGCCTGTGGGCTTCCCTACCTAAGTCAGATAAAACATAAAACGATGTAGACAGCAATAGATGATTGCCACGGGGAGATTCCGGTTGGCTCGCTTTTCCATGTGGAGGACCTCCCAACCGTGGAGGTCAGAGAAAGGTACTCCATGATGTCATCACGTCAGTCGCCTCAGTTTGCTGAACTGGAGTGAGGCAACGTCTCAATGCTCCCTGCTCTGGTCCTCTTCCACGTCCAGAGAAACGGGAGTTTTAGCTACTGCCTCAATCTAGTTCCCTGTTATCGCTTCTTAGGGATGTCAGTGATGCGTTTTTCCAGGAAGTCATTTCTGATGATCAATTACTAGATGGCCTTGGGCCCCCCCCCCCCCAGGCACCACGAAGGCCCATTAGGAGAAGCGTCAGTTTCCTGGAGCCTTAAGAAAAATTCAGCAATACATTTACTTCTATGTCAGGTAAAGACATAGTGTGAGTGCGTGTGTGTGTGTGTTTTCTATCCAGAGTTCAGTTACGCTGTTCCTTTAAGCGTGCCTGTGGTGGGTTTTGCTGACCACTGTGTTCAGAGTTGCCCTGGGCATTCTGAGGTTAGGAAGTCAGTTGCCTTCGGTCTTATCTGGCCAGCTCCTAGAGCAGGAAGGGTGGGTCGGTCACACCAGGCACTGGGCAGAACTGCACAGGCCATTTCATCCTGGAAGGCAGGTCGGCTCTGGTGGGGACCCATGTTTGCCGGCGAGATGGAGGTGGTGGCAGCCCGTTCTGTGCGTATTTCGCAGTGCTCCAGGGCAAGGTGGACTGCCTGAGGCCACTCAGGAAGGGCCCAGAGAACAGAAGCACCACGTGGGCTCTGAGACACAGTCCATCCATGTCCCCAGGCCCGAGGACCACGCACAGATGACATCCTAGACAGGAGCACTGTCTCCTGCCACAGCTCATCCCACTCCACATGTGGCCAGCACGGACGCCATCCTACACTCAGAGTTGCCAGCAGCACACTCCACACACTGAGAAGCTGCTGGAGATGCAAGGGGGACCCCCAAAACCAGAATTATCTTTGGGAGGCCAGGCCCCTTGGAATACAGGCTTCCCCTGTAGGAAAGTGGGAACCCATCAGCATTAGTGTACCAGCTAGCGTTGTTGTGAGGCCGCATTGGGCTTCGGTAAAAAAATTTTTTTGCAGTTCTTTCAACCTGTTTGCCTGTTACACGATGAGGGATTTGCCAGCATCCCGGCCAACACCGCGCTGAATGAGCAGCAGCTGTTGATCAAAAACAGCCCTCTCCATTCACCCGATCTCACCCCAGGCGACCTTTTTTTGCTTTTTCCGGATGAAAAACGTCTTCCAAGGGCAACATTTTTCCAGTGTGGAAGAGGTAAAACAAAAAAGTGTCAGAAACACTAACAGGCATCAAAATTGATGAATTCGAGCCAGGCTCAGTGGCTCAGCCTGTAATCCTGCGCCTTTGGAGGCTGAGGTGAGTGGACTGCCTGAGCCCGCGGGTTCGAGACCCGCCTGGGCAGACGAGACCTCATCTCTACAATAAATAAAAAAATCAGCCAGGCGTGGTAGCACGCGCCTGTAATTCCGGCTACTTGGAAGGCTGAGGCGGAAGGATCGCCGGAGCCCAGCAGGTCGAGGCTGCGGTGGCCGGGAGCGACAGAGTGAGACTCCAACTCAAAAAAAAAAAAAATTGATGAGTTCAAAAACTGCTGAGCAGTGAAAAAGGCATCTCGATAGGTGTATTGCATCAAACAGAAAGTACTTTGAAGGTGACTGAAGTTTAAACATGTAAGAATAAACACGCAATTTTTATAAATTCTTTTTTGAGGTCCCCTCATGAATAAACATTACCTTTTCTTGTTTTTAGAAAAAAGGCAACAGACTGATTACATATTTTTATTTCTCTTGTCTGAATTGTGAGTTCAGTTTCACTCACTGTCCTGTCTTGGGAATCCCCAACAAGTAATTATGGCTTAAACTGGGTTGACAAGAGCCAGTTTCGTGGCTCCAGTCGTGTTGGAGTCTGGCACAAGAAATCTGCAGTGCCAGGCCCACTTTCACTTTCTTCCTGGCTTACTAGTGACCAGATTGGGCTCCGGGCCCTGCACTGCATTCTGGCTTATTTGCTGAAATGAAAACTAGGATAGGGAAAGTGTCACCTTGGCTGTCCCCTGAACTCTACACTCTAGAGCTGAGGGCAGTAGTTTGATCTTCCCACACAGTGCACAGCACATGCTCAATATATGTTCTGTGGGCTGGAACCATTTCCAGTGGTTTAAACTCATCTGAGCAGCTGTGCCAGCAGAGGCAGGCAGCAGTATTCAAGACTTGCCTAACTTGTGCTTCTGTGCTCCCGACCTGATTTGCATAAAGTGGCTTTGAAACATTCCTATCTGTTTAAAAGGCAGAGAACACAGTATGCCTAATCCCCTCTTCCAGCATGTGGGAGGCTTCCATGTGAAAATGTCTTTACATGTGTTACAATAAAGCGCAGCTAAAATTTTGGAGGTTTCAGGTCATAGAGTTTCACCAGGAATTTCTTAGGGGCACTTGGCCTACACCCTGTTTTTGTTCAGGATATACCCACTTCTAGAAGGTCTGATACAGTTTCAGTAAACAGACTCTGGCAGAAGCGTCTCCTTTCCTGGACAGAAGAGATGGTTCTCTGGCCATGTCCTAACATTATGCTTTCCTTATTTAAGAGGCAAGCAAGTGTCCGTAATACAGATTGTTTTCAAATTTAAAGCATTACAAAATGGTTCATTTTATATACGACGGGGGCTTTGATGTGTGGTCAAGATGAGGCACAGACTTTTCATAGAAATTAATTACATGTAATTTCTATATTTTTGTCAAAGGTTTTCTCCAAAAATTTCCCATACAAGGTGACTAAACCAGCAGATGACAAATCACATTGAAGAACACGATCTATTTCAACTTACTTTTTATTATCATTTTTTCCAGTTACCCAGCATGCCACAATCTGATTGCTGACCTGGATGGAACAGAGTGAAGTAAATGATTTACAAAGAGATATTTACATTCATCTGATTGACACTTGATATGCCACAATGCACCGCGACCTTCGCAGGGTGACACCACCTAAGACTGGGGCTGGTCCTCACCTCCACACTTGCTGTTCTGCACGATGGCTGGTGCAGCCAACACAAGACGAGGAGGGCTCCTGGTGGGCGTCTTCGAAATGGCTTGCAGTTATGTTTTTAAATCTGCTCATTTGTGTGCTAGGTCATACATGTGCATTTCAGTAAACGGACTGTTTCCAGACCTGAACTGCAGGTTTCCCTTCTCCTTGTAGTGCCGAACGAGCACACTAGAAAGGCACATATTTCACGAAGCCAGAGTGTACGGAGGAGCACCCTGTGTCCCGCCACTCGGCTGCTCTTTCCGTGACCGCCCTCTCGCCCCTCGTCCTCACTTGCCTTTAATCAACATCCATCCCACAAGACTCCATCATTACTTATCAGCTCATTAGTTTGTGCACCATCAGGAGACACCAGGAAGCACTATGCATTATTCTTTCCATCCTGTTAAACAACGAAGCAGACGAAAAAGCATCTTTGGCTCAGTGGTGTCAGATTTTTTTCTTCAATACGCAGTATGTGAGAGGAGCCTAAAAACGTACTTAGTGAAATTAGAAAATTTACTTAGAGTATATCAAATATCTGTACACAGATCATTATTTTAGTCTAAAATAGTATTTCTACTATACACAGTTAAGCCCTCGAGTGCTTTAAAGGAACAACAGTGGACACTGCGAGTTGTGTGTTGTACGTGGGGGTGACGACGAAGCACTGAAGGCAAGGCAAGGCTGGGACACGTCCCCGGCCTCAGGCCGTCCTCCCGCCAGCGATCCGTCGCCGTCGTCTCAGCACAGACCTGATGTTCGCCATGTTCGGCCTTGCCTCTCAAAATCGATGTGGAGTAGGCTTTGGAGGCGGCGGCGTGACACACACAGAGACCGTCCGAGTCTCTCGAGCATGCAAAAGATGCAAGCCTCAAACAGCAGAACTTCTATTCAGATTCAGAAGTTTCTGATTTCATCAAATGTGCTAGACATAAAGGCTGTCACATAAGATATTTTAATTGCCCTCAACTCTGTTTTAGGTATACTGTGAATAAATTATACAATATTCTAAAAATAGCACCTTTAAGGAATTATAGAGGTCACTTTATTTTAGCCTCCTGGATCTGTCAACCTCGGTGGTTCTGAGAAGAGCACATGAAAGAATGCCCTCAAACCTGGCTGTGTGACACACACACACATGCTTGACTTTGACTACCTCTGGCCCCAAAAGCCATTTCTCTATCTGGCTTAGTCACAGGAGCAAAGCCAAGTTTCTACAACAGTAGCTACATGAGGTAAAATCAGAAAAAGGCCCCATCCAAAATGATTCAACATAAACCAGACTGCAATCCAGCCATCCTATCCATCTATACTACCCATGTCTAAGTTTGTTAATCTGCCATGAAGTGTTAAAAATTCACTCTAAGAAAGAAGTATGCAGAACAGTACATTATCAGGAAGACATTAACAATGAGCTACACTCCTTAAGAATTCTGGGTCCAAACCATTTGTTGTAAACATTACTAGAGTCTGAATGATCTCCAAGGTCCGAGACCCACTCCGTCCCTGGCTTCACAGTAGATCTGTCCTAAGCTCAGTGCTGAGAGGTCAGCGCCCCACCCCCCCCGCCGGAAGTAGCCCTTCATCAAGGTTTGTACAACTGCACTATTGCCATTTAATTGAAGTAAAAATAATTCCCTGTGTGTTTGAGCTACAAGAAACTCACTACATATTTTTCCTGCCATATGTTAATACAGGGTAGGTTAATACCAAGTCGGGCTATTAAAAATTTATTTTTCCAGAAAAGAATAATTTTCTGAGATTACAGAACCACGTCCAACAACAATAAACAGAGAAGTAGCAGATTGACATAGTGCTTTATTTAAGCTGTCTGTACGAAAGGAAAATAATGTGCATCCCTATCATATACGTGTAAAAATACTAAGGATGTACAGTGTACAAAAACAGTTTCTTGTAGTTATTTCACATCCTTGTGGGTCATATACGTAAGGAATAAACAATTTTAGTATGACCGACAGTAATAGTAATACAGTTTCTCGGGTTCATAGTTGCTTCTGCTTAAAGTCCTTAACCAGATGACTAGATCTTGCGCGGATCTAATGAAAGAACTAGCAAGGTCAAGAAATGTCACAAACTATAAAGCTACAGGGAGGTAATTCAATTACCAATTTAGAGGTTTTCTTTTTATTTAAATAAATACTTTACATTTCATGCTTGCCTGTAATGCACTACCAGGAGCAAGATAGGGAAATTCTACTGTAGACAGTACAAACAGTAGCAGCAAAGTGTGTACATTGAGGTGTAATATATAGACCCTGCAGTTAGTAAGGAAGGCCCTTACTTTTGTACTCTAGGAGAAGCAAGTGGCCCCTGCAAGAACAGTCAGCTTCAAGAAGCTGGAAATCAGGTGTGGGAATGGAAAACAATACTTGAATAATGCTATGTAATTAGTATGGAAAGCAAAGCTGAGAGTGACCCTGCCAACAACCCAACCAGAAATGGCCAATTTCCTCCAAGATGGCTGCATTATGACAAGAGGTCAAACCATGACAGTTAGTATGTGCTGGAGTCTGAAGTCTGAACTGTATTCTCAAAGAATGATTCCAGGTTTCGAGCAGTTCACCTGTCAGAACCCAAAACTACAGCTACGGGCAACACAAGGGAATCGCCCTCTACACACAATTCTCTTTTTGTATTATTCCTCTATGTCAGCTGACAGATCTGGGAGTGAAAGTAAAGGATTCTCAAAATCAAAGCCAAGAAAACACCTTTTGTGACATCAATGGAATCTCAGTGGGCACAAGTGACTGAGCCTTGGGCATGGCTAGCGACTGAGAACCAGTATGAGGAGTGGCCAGCCCAGGGCACCATCACTGCCGGTCATTCATCTTTAGGAAGTGTCCTTGGCCAAGGTCATAGACATCTCCTTAAGATTTGGAGGAAAGAAAACAACAACAAAAAGCTATGTGCTTAGTGTACGGCATCACGCTTTCCCTCTAAAGGAGTAAGTGCTCTGAATACCAGCCAGTCGTAGCCCTCTTCCTCCCACCTGTTTCTTTCTTATACAAAGGATGCAAGACAACTTAAAGGACATACCTTCTAGTCTACTTTCTGGTCAACGTGAAACATTCAACATAATTCCAAGTGGAAAAAAAACAGTTAAGCTATATGTGTAAGAATGAACTACCACTTACTGAAATTCCTACTGGACACCAAGGATAAACTTCACTCAGGTAGAAATATGAAAAACTAGGATAAAGTCTATGTCTGAATATGTCTTAGCTGCCTTAGTAAAATGCCCTTTAACCCCCGTCAGTCCCAGTGGCCCACCCACCGCCAGCAGTGGTTTCAGAGCTATAAACCCACACTCCAGCATCAAGAGGCTAAGACATCTGCAGATGAGTATGATTCATCCTCCTTGGAAAGTCACTTGCTCTTTCACACAATGCAATCATCATACAATGTCACGCTTTAGTCTTCCATTTGGGAGCTGTCAGACAGTTCAACTAAAATATATCTCCATGATCACTCCACGGGGTGGGACACCCTCTGCTTGTCGCAGGAATGGCCCCAGCCCCTTGGACTTCATAGGCTGCTTTGGAAAATGTCAGCTCCTAGCACCAAAGGGTTTAATCTGAAGATCATCATTAATGAAGGAGAAAGATGAGGTTTGCATACATGTCCCCTTTCAGTGAGAAATGTTGGAATTTGGGGACATGAGTATATACAAAAAAAGAAAAGCTGGAGGTGTTTTTTTTTTTTCCCTGATGGCTTAATTCAGTGATAAATGTACCATGATCAGAATAAACACACCAGGTCCTTAACCTTTACTGCCTACTTCCTAAATACTCAAGAGGTGTTCATTTTGCCAAGTAAAGTTCATTTCTTATCATCACTCAGGTCTCAAGTTCTTCATTACTCAATGCTGTCAGGTCGTTATTACATTTTACTTCTCAAATGAGCCAACATCAGCATCTATGTGTTCCATTAACCCCTTGGCATGGACAGTTGGGGATTTTCTCATTTTCAGCACCAAGGGGTTAAACGATAGCATCTCTTCTCCCAAAGCCAAATTCTAATCAATATAAACCATTTCAGAGCTGTATCAACATTTTTTACAGAGGAGAAAAAGTGCATGATTTTCATCAGCATGTACATTCCTTGCACATGGGTCAAAAGAAACTGCAGGATGTCTGCTTTATGTAAGTTGGAGCTGCATTTGCTAACATGACACACAATTCTCATCACTAAAAAATAAATACTACTGCAATATAAACAAAATCATAAAAGGACATTCAAAGTTTTAACATCTGAGGATAAGCTAATTCACGTAGAACTGAAACTAAAAAACCAAAACAAATAAGGCAAACAGCTGTTTACCTTGGTGTACAAATTTTGGTGAAAAGCAGGATCATTATACCTGTCTACATTCTTCAGCCATCAGAGGTGATAAACATCAAGAAGGAAAAAAGGTTTCCAAGCACGGGAAAAAATGCTCTCTGGCGCAAATTGCATCCTAAGACCCTTTAGGTGACCTCGACTGTGCATATGCTTTCATTCCTGGCAAAACACTGTTCCTTTGCCTACAACTGCCTGTGAAGTCTCGACATCCACATGTGATACTAGGCTTCCTCTGCAGTATATACCAGGAATTGAAAAATATATTTATAGATATATATCGACAGTTGTTCAGTCCTTCTACCAAAAGCTTCCTAATAAATTTCAGCCAGATCTCAGTGATATATACCAACTTTATGCATTGATCTGATACGCTTTATTAAAGCTGTGCATATGCATGCCACCACCTTTCCACAGTTGCTTGTTCTGAATTTATAAACTAAGTCTTCTTAGTCTAATTAGTTTTTGATTTATCTTCTAGAAAGTTAAAAAATGTACCTAGAATCAGTGTATCTCATTTAGCCTTCACTGTTAGGGAAAAAGAAAAACTAAAAGATCAAAAGATGACAACTGATGAACAAATGAACAATGGCGGGCTCATGACTTCCAAAGATTGTAAAATTACTTCTTAAAGTTGCTATAATAAGACAGTAGCAGCAACAGCATGAGACCTTAGACTGAGATACAATTTCATGCAAAAACAAAACTTGGAGTGTGTTTGCGTATATGTGTGTTTCATGTGGGTGAAAGGTGGCGAGGGGTGAAGACCCTTGGCTGGTCTGGGATGTCAGAAGGTGCCCCTGCTATCTGTAAGAGCTAGGACTGGTGATGTCCAGGAATCATTTTCAGTAATAAATCTAAGATGACAGTGAAGTAGCAGAATGAAAGAGACTTATTCTCGTCCACTTGCAGAGTAGGAAAACTGAGGAAAATGCGGCCGCCTCTCATTGTCCATGCAGTCCATACCATCCTCATCATCTGTGGGCAAGAAACAGCCATTTTAGTTTTACATTTGTTTTTTCAACATTATCTCTGGTCTATATTTTTTGAACTCAAAACTTAATGATCAACAGGCTATAGCGCTCATAAATTTGTGTTTATCAATTAAACATACAACAATTATACTTCAAAAGTTATCTGATTTTCATAAATGCATTATCTATGAGAAAATACTATAAAATAATCTCTAAGACATCAAAATTTCAAGATTCAATGAAACGGTAAAAAATAACACTGAAGAAAACAATTTTTTATTAGAAATACTCTTCAATAACCTTTCATTTCATAATACCACATATATCAAAATTACAGAAGGCAGTGAAATCTACAGCATCCAAAGTGTCTATATAGACTCCATTTTCAAATATCTCCAAGCCCTTGTATTTTTTTCTTCGTGGCACTTTAGGTGTGACTGCAAAATAAAGCTTCTTAAGAAATGTATTCAACATCCAGCATCTGGCTTAACTCACCTTTCCCATTTTCCTATGATTAAACTTTAAGCTGGAATAAAGAAACTAAATGAAAGAAAGAGGGAAAGATATCAGCACCTGTGTCTTAGTTCCTCAGGAAATGAGAGAGAACAGGGATGTGAAAGGCACTGAAAAAGGCTGCTCATAGTTAGGGTGCTCCTCTTTTCAGTTCTCCCGTTTCCTGCATTTAAAGGATCCCAAGTGATCACGCCACCCACTCTTGCAACTCTTCTGTGATTACAACTCTACACTGTCAGAACTGTGATGACTTCCTTACACCGTATTGTCTATTCAGTCACTCAGTCAATATGTGCCCCCTTTGCCTCTGCTCTAAGCTGGGCAGCCTTCAGCTCCGGATGGACAGAGCTCTAAGTCTGTAGACATCATGGGCTCGTGGGGGAGGTGATCGGTTTTAAATCTCTCCCGCTCTACTCTAAGCTCATTGAATCATAAGCTGTCCTGCAATAGAAACCAATGAGTCTTTCAAATAATCAGTCATTTTTCTTCAAGCAAAATAATTCAATTTCTTCAAATTCATATAGGAAGTACATTACCAAGTCTTTTAATTTTCCAGCCTCTCCAGGGATCATCAAATGCACACAGCCAGAGAGAGCATACAGGCCAGATCCCGCTGCACTAAGGCACTGACCCTGTCACCCCACAGAGGAGGACACTTTGCCTTTATTTGAAGAATAATAAACACTTCTTTTCTCACTGGTCTTCTTTCTAGTATTCTATTCTTAATGCAGAAGATTCGAAGAAATGGGACCAAGTTGGCATTAACACAAATGTGTGGCTCCTAATGTATCAGAAAACATCCCTATATTAGTTGGGAATCAATTCATCAAGATGCATCCATGGCTCCCTGCTCCATGTAAGACACTGAACTCTGGGGCCTCTCTCCTTCTGCAAACAGACCATGGAACTGCAGTCAGCATTTCTAGAGAGAACTGAGGTTTGGGGAAATCTCTGCTTCCATATAAAATATTAGATCCAATATCTGTACCAAGCAAATCACATGCATCTTTTAGATCGAATACCTTCAGCATATTTTTGGCTACATTAAAGACAGAAGAAGCTAGGGAATGATGTCATATCTGCTGTTGAGGCACACCGGATAAAAACTTTCAGGAGAAAGTCAGCTGAAATTTTCACGTTCAGATTCTGACACGTGCCAGTCACAATTCAAAGAAAGGTTTCCCCACTAACAGCTTTGTTTTGCAGAGTGTTTCTGCACTGCACACGTGCAACCTCCTCGGACAGCATATGGGGAAGCCTGTGCTTGCCCAGCCAGCCAGTGAGGGGCACGAGTGCCCGGGATCTCTGGGTTGCGACTGGCCTGGCACCTAGGTTAGCCAGGCTCCCAACAGGGGCAGGTACTGGACTTTCAGAGGAGGAGGTGCTATTGCTGGATGTCAGCTGATGTGAAAAGGGAACTTACACTCTGTCACTTCAGCATCACATTGATCACATTTCTGAATATAAGAAAATCTAAATTTCAAAGATAACCATGTGAGGGCTCCAAACCTTGAAGCCTATCACACCCAGTCAACCTAAGTAAGTTCCTGCTAGAAAGTGCGTCCATGGGGTACACCGATGATAATGAACATGAGCTAGGTTAAAAACAAAATAATGAAAAAATATACACATCTGGAAAAAGAAAACTAAATAATCAACTCTACACACTACATTTCAATCTCTGGATCCAAGGAGCATCAACTATCTAATTTTCTTAGAGTATCTAACAAATGTAATTATATAGCAATAACAGTTACTCGATCTCAAAGAAATCCTCTTTACTGTAGGAAGGAGGCAGAGTACCATTAATAGATATAACAAAAAATGACACATTCCAAAATCTGTTCAATTAGTTAACACCAGTGAGGACAATCTGGCATGATACCACAGCTGTTTGTAGAAATGGGAACATTTTGCCTTTCTAACTGCTGATTTATTCCAAAATTGTTTTACTCAAGCAAGGTAGCAAGAGGGAAGACAACTGCTAATGAATGGCACTATATGGACTTTTATGTACAAAACCTGTGTTGTTCAGAGCACCAAGGAGAAAAGGCGATGTGCAATGTCATCACAGCCCAAGGTGTCACCGACTCTCCTTTTATCTGCCCCCTAGGGAAATCTAAAGTATATCCAGGGAATCTCACATTAAAAACACTGCTCCTGTGTCCTTGTTCTTACAACCACGGAGGCCCCTGTGATGAGCTGAGTTGTGCAGGTGGCAGAAGGAACTGTGAGTGAGAGGCACCTGCAGCCACGCTGGGCACCCTGAGCTCTCCCATCGGACTGTCCTTTCCAGAGAGATCCTGAACACAAGATAGCACATCCGCAGGGCCCTCCACATCCTCAGCTGTGGCACCTTGTCAGACACAGATGATATTGCTGGGTTCTCATTTCTGTGCCATCCAGGGCCCTGCAGCTGGGCGGGGCCCACCCCACTTCTGACACCCACGAAAGCCATACTTTCCTGGGCTCACAATTACAGGTGGAGTTTTACAACCCCCTTGGAAGTTACTGAAATGTACCAGCATCCTTGGTATCTCTGTCTCCATCTAGAAATGGACCAATTATCCTCTAAAGGCATCGATGCCATGGGACTTGCACAACATGACCAGTGTCTGTAATGAAATACATTCTTTTAAGAACAGGGTTGCTGTTGATGATAAAACAGATATGCCAGGAAAAACATTCTTGATGGCTTTTATCTTGCTGGTTAACAAAACGGACGAACTACATTCAAATTATGCTCCAGAAACTGTGGTGGGGGTAAAACACCTTGTAACACTTGTATCATTTTAGAAGGCACAGAAATTGAGCAATAAAATGCACACTGATGGCAAACTCTCATCAGGACAAGTGTCTTGTGGTGTGGAGTTAGAGACAAAGCAGGTAAGATGAATTTTGAAGAGGTCCTGGTCCTTAACAGTTAGGGCTTTGAAGTTCAAGTCAGTCATGAAAAAATAACTGACTAGCTAAGGAGGTACATACAATAGTTTCTAAATTACCTTATTTGCAACCAAATCAATTTTCAAACTGTTTTGGTCTGGTCTTTCTAACCTCCCACTTTCTAGCATCATGTTTACTCCCCGCTCCAGCCTTCCACTCACACCCTATTCCGGTGAGGTGTCCACCAAATCAGACCTACTGTCAGTCTCCATGGAGGGAGCACAGCACCAAGTAACTGGACTGGTTAATCTGGTGCGGGAAGAAAATCAAATACAGTGTGATTCGTACTTTAGAATCCTAGATGCCCATCTAAAAGGGATGGCATCTCAGGCACATGGCGGGGCAAAGACAGAGGCCCCCAAAAGTTTATCTAGCCCCGCTCTCCCCTTTTCCAGAGGATAAAGAGACCTGCCACATCCCAGGGCTGTATGTGGCCGAGCCAGGACATGAGGCAGGTACTCCACCTGAGTCCTGGACTTTTTCAACCCAACTCTGTCTCCCAAATTGAGATTCCACTTTCAGCTTTCTGCAGTAATCCATCCACTCATAGCTTTGCATTTATAGAGTCCACCTATTTCATGTTAATATTTAGTTATCCTTAGAAGAGTTCTTTCCTTTGAGAAATAAAACCCTTTCAACAAGGCTGAGGCATGTCAGGCCCTTCCTATCCTGGTGCCCACTGTGGCTTTAGAGTGCATGGCAAGCCTGGGCCTCCGCCCCGCTCTGTAGCTCCCAGACTCTTGCCCTATTGTTTATTCACTCATCCAGTATTACTGAATTCTCACACTGGGCCAGGCATCTAGCTAGGAGCTGGGGCTAGAAGCAAAGACACACTAGATCCTTCCTCTCAGAGTGATTGCGTTTTAGCGGCCAAAAGAAAAGATAAAGAAACAACCAGAAAAATACCGGCGAGTAAAGATGCCAATGTAGAGAATTAAGAGTGGGAAAGTGTTGTCAAACTGCATTGTTCCTTAGACAAGCAGGTGGAAGAGGCTATCTGATGAAGTGATATTTAAGTTCAGATTTGAAGAACAAGAAGGAGTCATTCGTGCAAAGACCTGGGAAGAAGAGCATTCTAGGCAGCCAAAACAGTAAACACTGTACCCAGTTCCCAAGATGAAGTTTGGTGTGGCATGTTCAAGGTGTGGCTGGAACCCAGGCAGAGTGGGGAAAGATGGAACAGGAAGACTTCAAAGAGGTGGACAGGGCCTAAATCAGCCAGGACTGTGTAAGCCATTGCGAAGAATTTGGACTTAGATACAGGGGGAAGTCACTGGAGTGTTTTAGGCAGAGGAATGATGTGGTCTGATTACAACTAGGGTTAGATCCAAATGATGGGACCTAGCAAATGCTGTATGGCAAGAACTGCCCCCAGGCCATCCAACAGCTCGCTGGAGGTACCCAGTATTTTGGACAGTGATAATGCTACAGTCCATGCTGGTGCCAGCGGCCAAGGCCTGTGTCCATTATTTCTACCCAGACGGCGCTTAGCTCCTTGCCCATGATTTGAGAGGCCTCCAACACTGTCTCTGACTCTTAGTGATTCTAAAATTCTAGCAATGGCACAAGACAGAGTGGAAACTCTGCCCCACCACAGGATACACCAAGGATAGCCTGCCTCAACACTTCACTATTTCACAATGCAACCTGGGCACTGGCTAAATTGGTGAGCCCTGCTCCCAGCTATGTCTGACACCATGGGACCTCGAGCAGCTCAACTTCTCTCTAGGTTTCAATTTCATCACTTATGGAAGTTAAGAAGCTAACCTCTTGTGAATCTAAAGAAATAAATGCATGTATATACACACATAATTACATCTTTAATTTCAGGGTGTTTGCAGTCCTCATGTTGCCAGGCCATGGACACCAGATTAAGACCTCTTGGCCTAGATGACACTAGGTTGTCTTTTGATCCTAAAATCTGTTAACTGTGACCACAGTTGGAAACAGCAATTCACTTCAACCTTCCCTTGTGTGGACACTCAGTTACATTAGACCCATCAACTCCTAGCCTTTCAAAATGAGAGAAGAAGAAATGCAGGAAAGAAAATAAAGGGAGAGAAAAGGGGAGAAAAACCAACATGACGTTATAATGCAACCCAAAGGCGTGAGACTTGAAGAATTCAATTACTACCCTGAAACCTAATCTTATCCTCATTCCTAAATTAATGATGATACAGACAGACCTTTGTCAGCATGAGAATGTTCATAAATCATATCTGATAACCTTTTATTTCATTAAGTTCCATTTATTTGTGGTATATCTCTATGAAGCACACACTAATGCATGTAGAATGACTTAAGTGATACACGAGCATATAGTTTTAATAATTTAATTTACATGCACAAATTACTAGCAAACTAAATTATGTCTTCACAGATATTACTGTTTAAGAGAAAGCTAAGTAAAAAGACTCAATTTAAGTTGGACTTTTCTTTTTTTTTTTTGAGTTGGAGTCTCACTCTGTCGCCCAGACTGGAGTGCAGCGGCCACTCCCAGCCACCACAGCCTCGACCTGCTGGGCTCCGGTGATCCTTCCACCTCAGCCTTCCGAGTAGCTGGAACTACAGGCTCACACTACCACGCCCGGCTAATTTTTTGATTTATTGTAGAGATGAGGTCTCGTCAAGTTGCCCAGGCGGTTCTCAAACCCGCAGTCTCAGGCAATCCACTCACCTCAGCCTCCCAAAGGTGTGGGATTACAGGCTGAGCCACTGAGCCCGGCTATTAAGTTGAATTTTAAAACTATGAAGTAAGGAGGAGACCCGAACTGACAAAACTCTGAAGGTGGAAAGAGCAAGGCCTGGAAAAGGGGAGTCTCTACTTCATAATCCTTTCAGAAAAGCTCTTCTCACCACTTCCTGTCTTTTGCTATTTCCACACTGGAAACTCCGTATTCTTAAATGGGATGGAGTAAGTCACTGTGGAATTTAATCTTAAATATTTCAAAGGATGAAAAAAAATACTGTTTTCTTCAATTATGTTAGAATGTTGCCAACTGCTTTCCATATTTACTTACATTTTTCAGGTGGTGTTATTGTAATAGTCTGAGCTGTAAATTCTTCATCAAAATATCTGGTATCTGTCTCAGATGTTACTTGAGGCTTAAATGGAGGTACAAGCTGTAAGAAGGGAAAAAGAGCTCAATGAACGGATTGCAATTTAGGAAAATTCCTTTCCAGGACAAATGTGAAAGCATATAACTAAATGAACAGTGCAAAAGTCTAAAACGCTGAGTCAATGTGCGAGGTAGATGTGGTATTCAGCTTCCCAGTCAACAGTCTAAACACAAAATGGTGGATATTTGGTTATTCTGTATTACATTTGATGAATTATGCAAAACGACAAAGGAGACCCATAGAAAAGAGTAGAAGAGGGATACTGAAAAATCTGGTCTACCTTCTTTCCCAATAACAAACATACATGAAAAACCATACGGACACACACCTCCGTGACAGAATATACACCCTTCCCAGTGCAACCTCTCTTCATAGTGCTGGTTAAGGGTTATCAATAAAAATACACCTTAATAATACAGTTATTTCCTAAGTCACAGATAGAGTGCTGACTCTGCACTTCATAAAGAACTATAATTTTGAACTTTGCAAAGAACTCTGCTCACTTAAGATAGGCATCAATGTCTGCCCTGTCTTAGAAATGGGATTCTCGGCAGCCTCCGGAGTCACATGTAAAGTTTTATCCACAGTTTTCACCAGATCCTCAAAGGAGACCATGACCAAAAAGAAATTAAGAGTGGCTCCTCTGGGACTGGCAGAGCTGGACCCATCTCATTTGTGTTGGTCCTGCAGCAGGGTCAGGGTGGACAGAAAGTCTTGGGCTACTGAAGGTTACAGAAGCCCAAGCCCTGGGAAGCCTTAGGGAGGGAGCAGGTTGGTGCTCTTGACAGAATCCCAGAGCTCTGACCTCAAGAGACAGGTGAAGCCTACAGATTTCTAACATGAGATGCCTAGTCTCAGGGCCTGGAGACAGAGTATGTGCTTTAATGAGTACCATTCAGAACAGGGCATGGCACTTTGAGAACACACTTCTCTCAGGAATAGGAAAGTGGAAAATAGAAGGACAGAAATTAGCATGTTTTATAAATATTTCACAGAAACAGAAATACACAACTGGCTTTAGATCAATGCATTTTCCCACAATTCCTGTCACCATATTTATGTTAAATAATACGGCAAAATTGTTTAAAGTATTCTCTAGACAGACCATATTTTTAAAATTGGGCCGTGAACAGAGTTAATAACTTGTTTTCAAAATAAAGGACCACATTTCAGTTTATGGCACATGCTACAAAGCACTTTTAATCTCTTTATCATTCTTTCTGTTTGCCCCATCACACAGCTATTCTGAAGTCTCCATTATTAACAAGCACTCTTTTGGGACTGAACCAACTCCAGGTTCCGTTGAGGAGCTGGTAATGGTTATCAGAGAACCAGAGGACTCCTCTCTCAGCTGCTTTAGTCTCCAGTCAAGAACAAGTTCCTCTGCCAGTGGTGAGGAGAAAGCTGCCATGGTGCCAGAACATGTTTCTTTCTAGCTGCTTTGCTAGGATCACTGGATGTAAGCAAGAGGGCACTCCACTAGTAGAAATCCTCCTCTGCCCCTTGGGATATGTGAATTCAGAACACAGAACAACAAAGGTGACACAGACTAGAAGAGTTCTGATTTGCTCTTTAGAAAACTGAGGGAATAACTGCTTCCATCTGGTAGGAAACTGGAAGACGGGAATTTTGGTTGGGATTTTTCTTGAGTCACTGTTCTACAGAGGTTCACCCAACGGGTCTTCATCCTCCCAATTAAAAGTTAACCACCAGGAATTCTTTCACCTGAAATGGGCTTCTTTTGGGGCACTGGGACTAGGTATTGCTTACCTCGACCCAACCCTTACCACCTGCTTCCTTGTAATGTCAACAATTTAAATCTGTCTTCAAGTTAGGGGAAAGATGATGTTCCTTCGGATGAGAGATGATAACCTGTAACTTTAAAAAGCTGAAGTCTACCTTAAAACAGTTTATGAAAGATTACAGGGGAGCTTAAAATAGTCTGTTTCAAATGTCACGTTAAGGTCAAGGACTTTCTTGATCTCCTCTCTACTTCACAAAGTCTCCCCTTCCCACCACTTTCTATCTCCACACTGCTTTGTTTTTTAAAAAAGACTTTGCAACACCTGATACAAAGACACATAAACACACACACACATAATAAACATATATCTGATACAAAGACACATACACACACACATAATATACATTATCATTACTGTTATTACATCTCAACACTAATAAAATATAAGTTCCATGAGGGCAAGGAATTTTAAAAAGTTTACTGAGGCATGATTAACATACACTAATAATAAAAGTGCAATTTAGTAAGTTTTGACATATGTATATACCCATGAAATTGTCACCACAATCAATAAGGTGACCATATCTAGCATTTCAAACATATTCTTGTGCCCGTGTATAATTCTGTCCTCTCTTCTAGCCCCTGCAGGTCACTACTAACAGACTCTCTACCATTCCAGATTTGCCTTTGCTATTTTTTTTAAGCCTGTTGTATAAATGGAACAATAGTAAGTACTTTGACTTCTTTCATTCAGCATGATTACTTAGACATTCATCCACGTCACTGCATGCATCAGTAATTTATCTACTTTATTTATGGGTAGTAGTCCAGTGTACAGATGTACCACAATTTATCCATTCACTTGTCGGTGAACATACGGGTTGCTTCCGGTCTGGGGCTACAACAAAAAAAGCTGCTATTAACCTTTATGTCCAAGTCTTTGTAGAGACATATGATTTAATTTATTTTGGACAAATACCAAGGAATGGAATGTCTGGATTATATGGTAGGTGTACATTTGACTTTTCAAGAAAGTCAAATTGTTTCCCTTAACAGGTTACAAATTTTACTGTTTCTAATTTACTCAGAGTATTTTGTTTGTTAAAAGGGACAGACTTTCTTGAATGTTTTTTGTGCATTTGTTGAGGTAATCAGTTTTTTCTTAGTGTCTTAATAAATAAATTATAGTGATTGGTTTTTGAATGTTAAACCAATCTTATATTCCCACCTTATATATAAACCACACTTGGTAGTGATGCATCATTCTTCATATCTATTGTTGGATTTTAATTGCTAAAATTACATTAAGAATTTTTGCATTATGTGTTTACTAAGAAAATTAGTTTATAGTTTTCTTTTAAAAATATCTTTGTCTATTGATATTAAGTTAATAGTAGCCTCACAGAATGAATTGAGAATTATTCCCTCATCTTCAATTTTCTGGAGTTGTATAGAAGTGATACTATTCATTAAATGTTTGATAGAGTTCATGGATAAAGTCTTTTTGTGATAGTTTTTAAACCACAAATAAAATTTCTTTAGCAAATACAAGGCTATTCATAATATCTACTTCTTCCTGGTAACATGTGGCTTTAAAGAAATTTTCCCATTTCAGCTAAATTGTTGAATTTGTTGGCTTAAAGTTGTACATAATGTTTCTATATTATCCACTTAATACCCACAGAAGCTTCAGCAATGTCACCTCTCTCATTCATGACATTAATAATTTGCTTTCTCAGTTTTCTGTTCAGTCAGGTAAGAAATGTATCAATTTTAGTGCTCTTCCCAAAAAAATCAGTTTTCTCTTCATCAATTTTCTCTTTTATTTTCTGTTTTGTATATCATTAATTGCTGTCCCAGTCTTTACTATTTCCTTTGTTCTGTAGACATTGGACTTAATTTGTTCTTCTTTTTCTAATGTCTTAAGACAAATGCTAAGGGTCATTGATCTTAGACCTTTTTTTGTTCTAATATAGTCATTTAGTACTATAAATTTCCCTTTAAATATTGTTTTGGCTGTATCCCACAGCTAACCACGTTTTGTTTTCATTTTTAGTCAGGTCAGAATACCTCCTAATGTTCCTCCTTATTTCTTCTTTGACCTATGGATTAAAATTACATTCAGTTTCCAAATATTTGGGGATTTTCCACAAGTCTTTTTAAAATTTTTAATTTCATTTCATTTAAAGAGAATATGCTTTAAGTTACTTGAGTCCTTTAAAATTTATAGAGTTGGTTTACTCATAATATGGCATATTGTGGTAAATGTTCTGTGTGACCATGATAAAAGAATGAGTGTTCAATTCTTATCTAAGGGTGATACTGGAAAGAAAAAAAAAGAAAGAAAGAAAAGAATGAGTGTTCATATATCATTGGGTGAAATGTTCTATAAATGTCAATTAAATCAAGTTGGTTGATAGTACTGCTCAAGCTTTCTGTAACCTAATCAATTTCTCTCCACTTGCTCTCAGTAATTTGAAGATGGGTATTAAAATGTCCAACAGTATTTGTGGATTTGTCTATTTTTCCTTGTAGTTCTATTAGTTTTTGCTTCATGTATTTGAAGTTTTGTTATTAGAGGCCTGATTAAGGTTTAGTTCTCCTCTAAATGAAAAGACTCTCTTATTATGAAATTATCCTCTTCGTCTCTAGTAAAATTACTTGCATTGAAAATGACTTCATATGATATTAATACAGTCACTCGAGTTTCCTTTTGATTAGTGTGATCATGGTACATACAGTTTTCAAAAACGGTGCTTGCCACATAGTAGCATTCAACAATATTTTCTGAATAAATGAGTAAATCTTTCAATCTTGGAGCTGAATGGAATGTCAGTGAGCACACAGGTAAAGATGAAGAAATTAAAGCATTGGTGAAATGGCTTGCCAAAGATTATACAAATAGCAACTGGAGCAGCAAAAACTAGGTCTCCTGATCTCAAGGTCTTTTAACTAGAATACTTACAACATGAAGACTTTGCATGAGAACTGCTTTTGCTTTTGATTGCTTTTCTATACATTAGTCAGTCTTGATATTCATGCTGGGAGGCATTATGCCCCTCTTTCCCCACCCCACCACCCCAGAGAACTCAGTGAAATATAAACATCTGTAGAGGGAAGCAAAGACTCTACATTATACATGGGGAAAGCTGTGGGGTAGAGCTTATAAAAAATTGCCATGTACTTGAACAGCATTCCCACAGAAACCATCAGGTTTGCTCTGATGTTGGATTTTATTACAAATTTCCAGAACACACAC